GCTCGAGATCAGGAGTTCAAGACCAGCCTAAGCAAGAGTAAGACCCTGTGTCTACTAAAAATAGAAATAAATTAATTGGCCAACTAATATATATAGGAAAAAATTAGCCAGGCATGGTGGCGCATGCCTGTAGTCCCAGCTACTTGGGAGGCTGAGGCAGAAGGATTGCTTGAGCGCAGGAGTTTGAGGTTGCTGTGAGCTAGGCTGACGCCACGACACTCACTCTAGCCAGGGCAACAGAGCAAGACTCTGTCTCAAGAAAAAAGAAGAAAAAAAAAATGCAGCACAGCATAATGGTTAAGAACACAGCTCTGGGCCAGGCGTGGTGGCCTGTAATCCTAGCACTCTGGGAGGTCGAGGCGGTAGATCGCTCAAGGTCAGAAGTTCTAAACCGGCTGAGCCTGAGCAAGAGCAAGATCCTGCCTCTACTAAAATAGAAATTAATTGACAATATTTAATATATAAAAATTAGCCAGGCATGGTGGCTCGAGTTTATAGTCACAGCTACTAGGGAGGCTGAGGCAGAAGGATCACTTGAACCCAGGAGTTTGAGGTTGCTGTGAGCTAGGCTGACGCTATGGCACTCTAGCCCAGGCAACAGAGTGAGACTCTGTCTCAAAAAAAAAAAAAAAAAAAAAAGAACACGGGCTCTGGAATCAAATCAAACTGCCCATGTCAGAACCCTGTTCTGCAATTTACTAGCTTGAATGACCTTGGGCAAGTTATTCATTTTCATAGAGCATGCCTAAAATGGGGATGATACAAGCTACTTCATAGGGTTTTTATGAGCATCACATGAAATAATATATAGCATAATGGTGCTACAAAATATGTGAAACTCAACATATATTTCGTTCTGTCGAGCCTAATCTCATTTGGTTGCAAAAAAAAAAAAAAAAAGCTTCAATGAGGATTTGGTGAATGTGTGCAAACACCTTATCCTTCCCTGCCTCCACTTTAGAACTCATTGATGTGTGCACGTGGCTCTAGTGTAGCTGCCCAGAGCTCAGGCTGCCCTCCACCTATTTGGGCAAAATCCTGCTTCAAAGTATGAGTACTTTTATCTTGGGTGAAGCCATTCTTGTTTCTTTTCTATCTTCATTGCTTAGGCTTATGCCCTAATTACTAAGTGAGGCTGGAGTTTCATACTATGGGGAAATTTGGAGATTTGGGTAGGAGAAAGAGCTGATGAAAGCTAAAAAGACGCGGGTTGTCTATGCTGGCTCATGCTTCATGGTCTTGAGTTTAACAGGCTGAGGGCTGGTCTGAGTGTCGCCTGCTCACACACACTTAAAGGAAGATACCCGGGCCCTGCCTGCTCCTTAGGACAGAAACACACACACACACACACAGAGAGAGAGAGAGAGGAGAGAGAGGAAACAGAAGATAATATAGATGTACAAATTTACTATAAACTTAAACTCCTAAGCCTTGTTACAGGTTCCTGGCCGCAGACGGGTCCTTTAAGAGGCGGCCCCATCCCGGCTAACAGAGGAAGTCCCCGCCCCCGGTTGCCAAGTGCTCTGTGGCGTCGCATTCTCATTGTGGGCGACGGTGGGAGGCACCCAGAGCGGCCATTTCCAACGAGCTGGCGGGATCTTTTCCCACTTTTGATGGGTGTTAGAAATAGTGCATCTTACTGATAACTCTGTTATAAGAGGAACAACAGCACAAGCACAGTCCTGTTTGGGAGCTGACCTTAGTCTCAGGGTTGGGGACTCCACAGGGAGGAGTGGGGACTGTGGTGAAATGGAAAGCCATGTCCCCTCAGAGGTGTAGCCCTGCAAGGGGGGTCCAGGATTGCCAGATCTTTAAAAAAGAAACTGGAAACCAAGTTTTTTTTGTTTGTTTGTTTGTTTTGTTTTTGAGACAGTTTTTTTTGGTTTTTTTTTTTTTGTTGTTGTTGCCCAGGCTAGAGTAAGTGCTGTGGCGTCAGCCTAGCTCACAGCAACCTCAAACTCCTGGGCTCAAGCGATCCTCCTGCCTCAGCCTCCCAAGTAGCTGGGACTACAGGCATGCACCACCATGCCCGGCTAATTGTTTTGTATATGTATTTTTAGTTGGTCAATTAATTTCTTTCTATTTTTAGTAGAGACGGGGTCTCGCTCAGGCTGGTTTCGAACTCCCGACCTCGAGCAATCTGCCCACCTCAGCCACCCAGAGTGCTAGGATTACAGGCATGAGCCACCGCGCCCGGCTGGAAACCAAGTTTTAATGGAAGCTCTTCTGACTTTTTAGTGCTGGCAACTGATTTAGAAATTTTAAAAGTATTGTGTGGGCCAAGTAACATATACCTGTGGGCCACCAGTTTTCAGCTCTGCTCTATGCAGATCCCTGTGGCCCACATGTTGGCTCAGTTGGTGCCATGAATTGTGGGACACTTTCAGAATCAGCTCCCTAGTGAACCCTTTTCATTTTCCTGGAATACTAAACGCTCTTCACCTAGTTTAAGAAGTAGGTATGAACTCCCTGTGCAGCATCTGCTTCATTCACCACAGCAGATCTCGAGTAGGCCAGAGCCCAAGCCCAAAAGAGGTTCACGGCCCCTCCTAGTATGGCTCCCACCTGGAGCCTTGGGCACTTTCCACCCACCCGTCCAGTCTTCTCTCCGCCCTGGTGAGTTCTGTCTCTGGGAGGATGCCAGCAGGCCAACAGGCCTCATGGTTGTTTGATCACCGGCTCCCGCCAGGGCCTGCTAGGGCCCAACAGGTGCTCACGGCCTCCACACTCACGGCTGCTGCTCCCCTAGTCCTTTCCCTCTCCCTGGACCTTCCCTCAATCCCCTAAAAGGAACCTGGGGTTCCCTCCTGGTGGAACCGGAGGGATCCTTCTTCCAGAGATCAGCCAAGGCCGAGGGACTTTGTATCTGCTTGTAAAAGGTCCATGTGTCATGGGGACAGGGCCTGGCTGCCTCCTCCCAGAATGTCCTGAACCCCACCTATGGGGCACAGCCCTCACCTGAACCAGGCTGGGGATCTGAACCTTACTCTGTCCCCCACAAAGTCAATGCTAAGCACTAGAGGAGAAAGCCGGCTACAAATACAAGATTATCATTAGCAGAGAGGTTTGACTGCACAATAAATGTGATGTGCTTGAATACTCCCCAAATCATTCTCTCCAGCCCCCACCCCATTGGGTAGAAAAATTGTCTTCCATGAAACCTGGTCCGTGGTGCCAAAAGGTTGGGATCACTGCTCTAGGCTCATTGCTGTTCAATACTGTAGCCACTAGTCCACATATGGCAATTAGATTTAAATTTAACTAAAATTATAAGCAAGTCTTCAGCACATGAGCCGTATTTCAAGTGCTGTCTTATTGAACAGTGCAGATGTAGAACATTTCCATCACTACAAGTTCTATATTGGTTGTACTGCTCGAGGCCCTTTAAGAGATGTCAACAGGATGGGCCTTGCCACCACTGAAAACCACACACACACACACACACACACACACACACAGCAAAAAAAAAAGAGATCCGTAAGAACAAATGAAAGAAACAAGACAAACAAGGGTACCACTTAGGAGCCCACAGGGACAGCCAAGTTTGTCAGGCACAACATCTACTCCTAGACGAAGCCCTAGGGAGCTTTAGGCAGCCTAGTAGCTTATCTGAACTTTCAGCTTCCCTTCCAAGTCACTGTATACATCTTTCCTTGTTATAATAATATAGTCATTTAAACTTATTATCCCTTATGCTAAACAAAAATGCAGCACAGGCTGGGCCCAGTGGCTCACGCCTGTAATCCTAGCTCTCTGGGACGCTGAGGTGGGTGGATAGCTCGAGATCAGGAGTTCAAGACCAGCCTAAGCAAGAGTAAGACCCTGTGTCTACTAAAAATAGAAATAAATATAAATTGGCCAACTATATATAATAGGAAAAAATTAGGCCAGGCATGGTGGCGCATGCCTGTAGTCCCAGCTACTGGAGGCTGAGGCAGAAGGATTGCTTGAGCGCAGGAGTTTGAGGTTGCTGTGAGCTAGGCTGACGCCACGACACTCACTCTAGCCAGGGCAACAGAGCAAGACTCTGTCTCAAGAAAAAAAAGAAGAAAAAAAAAAAATGCAGCACAGCATAATGGTTAAGAACACAGCTCTGGGCCAGGCGTGGTGGCCTGTAATCCTAGCACTCTGGGAGGTCGAGGCGGTAGATCGCTCAAGGTCAGGAGTTCTAAACCGGCTGAGCCTTCGAGCAAAGATCCTTTTACTAAAAATAGAAAGAAATTAATTGGACAACTAATATATATAGAAAAAATTAGCCAGGCATGGTGGCTCGAGTTTATAGTCACAGCTACTAGGGAGGCTGAGGCAGAAGGATCACTTGAACCCAGGAGTTTGAGGTTGCTGTGAGCTAGGCTGACGCTATGGCACTCTAGCCCAGGCAACAGAGTGACTCTGTCTCAAAAAAAAAAAAAAAAAAAAAAGACACGGGCTCTTGGAATCAAATCAAACTGCCCATGTCGAACCC